TTCCTGGCTGTTTAAGATACGTGAGACACTGCATTTATATACAGATTTTATTTTAATTTTATATCTAGAAGATAAATTAATATGTCAGAATCTTTGCAGGTGGACACACTGTACTTTTAAACAATTAGAAGACGAATGTTCTGTTGCAAAATATTTGTTAACAGATGTACATTGTCAGGTTGAATGGGGCTCTGAGCAACCTGATCTAGTTGAAGATGTCCCTGCTCATTGCAGGTGGGTTGGACTAGATGACCTCTAAAGGTCCCTTCCAACCCAAACCATTCTATGATTCTATACATTATATGCATATATTTGCAAACTATTCACTTTTCACATAATAAGTTTATGTGACTGGTCACATAAATTGTGTGAAAACTTACTTATATTTTCTGATGTCATACCATAAACTTTATAAATTAAGGACAAGTATCTTCCATACAAATAGCCTGCACTGTTTTTTTCAGCCCACAACTCTGTTTTGGGATGTGTTAGGCTTGCATTACTGCAGTGATCAAGTTTTGACTACCAAAAAAGCTCCACGTGCCATGTAACGCTGATCGAAGTGATGGCGGGGGACCAGGAAGGGTTCTGATAAGAGGCCAGTTTAATTGCAAATGTTCTAGAGCTGTGGAATTTTTACATTTTTTTTTTAACAAAGACTCTTTTATAGGATGAAAATCCATCCGTTCAATATGGCTTGACTATATGGCTGACTTAAAAAGAACAGCTCAGAAACTGAAAAGTTTTTTGTGAGTAGTTGTTTCCTCTACTCACGTAACCTCAGTCACTCGGTAAAAAACTAGGAAACAGCTCTTAATTAAGCTGTGTTACTGTAAGAACAGTATCTCAAGGTTAAGTGTATGAACAATAAACCTTACTGCAAGCAATGCAAAACAGCTGCAGTAATTCATTAACTTACCAAACTCAAGTGCTGCATCTGTGAGGTAGAATTGCTTAAGAACACCAACAGTACCAACTTCACCGGCCAGTGCTATTGCCCCAGCAGTTAGCCTTTGGAAATGCCCATTCATTTCACCAAAGCAAACAACTTACAGAATTGAATCAGTAAATATAAGAACTTGTAACTATATCCTTTGGCATTTTGAAAGTATACATGGAGAAAAGTGTGTGAAGATGTATAAACTTGGATGTGCTTTTTCAGCTATTTTACTGCTGGAACTTTTAACACTCCTCCCAGACTACCGAATCCTTTGAATTAATATTAGTGAAGTGGCCAGAGCCTACAAAAAGGCTGGGCTTTCCTTGTTGCTTTTTGAAACAGAAGTTTTCCCTTCCTTGCATTTCACTTAATTTCTTTTCCTGTGAGAGGCTAAACGAACTGAACACTGCAAGTTACAGCTGTTTCAGTCTGGCATCTGTCACGTGCCAGCGCTGATGCATTACAGCAAACTTCTAGTATAGAGGGAGATTGCGAAAGACTGAAGCGTCTCACACCAGACAACTTTATTCCATTGTCAAAGATGTATTGGCACGACTTCACTGGGTGCAATGCAGCCCAAATCAGGCTAACTCTCAGGCTTTTTCCAAAACACAGGTTCTCTTTCACAGGCTATATCAAAGTCCTTTAAATGTCAAAAAAAGCCTGGAGGAAGCCAGATTTTTTTCTACCCTGGAAAATTATCCTCAACCATTACAGAAGGAGGGAAGATGCTTAGATTTACTGTGATATTCTTGGCAAGTATGTCGTAGATGTTGAAAGAGTCTGAGATTACAATTTCTAGTATTCTCTGAAGGCTGTGAGAAGAGGGTGACTCTCTTTGCCTTTAAAGTTTCAGTAAAGAGATTATAAAAGGCTGAGAGTGCTTTCCAAAGCTTTAGCTGCCTTTTCTTCATGTGGTCAATGGTTATTTTCCATTCTGCCTCGTCTGTCATGTCAGGACAGTTGTGGGCAGTCTCTCAAATTCTGAGTATTCTCACTGTGCGAGACATTCATGTATCTGTCCCTGTGACAATCCCATGCTTGCACATGGGGTTGTGGTACGGGGCAGGCCCACACAATGAAGCGGGTCAATGTTTGTTTGTAAAGTACCGAGCCGGCTGGTTTCTCTGCCTGCAGCACGGCGCGGTGCAGCGTTGTTTCTCTCCAGCTCTCCCAGCCCACATGTCAAGCATGACCGGTTAGTGGGTCACAGCTCCCGCAGCGTGTGGCAGGCTTGTCAGACGCGGGGCAATGGTGAGAATACAAAAAGTCAGATGTTTGTTACAGTACTGTCAGCTGAGGAGACAAGTTTCACAGAAGCAATTCTCTAAGCCCGTGCGGTAGGGTTGGTATCGGTGTGGGAAGCGTGAACTGATCTTGCGCTCTGCAGGCAGTTCTTGCAGCCAACGTTTTGGCTTCAGCGCAGGGACCGCGGATAAAAGGGGCTTCAGCTGCCCTCTGCTTGTCAGAACTCTACTTCTAAGCACAACATAGCCGGTCCCAAATGATCACCCGAGAGATCAGCTCTGTAGTAGCTTATTATAGATGATCTTTACTGAAGAGTCAAATGAAAGCCTGATAACAATCTCAGAGATACTTTGAAAGAGTTATATAAGCAATAGGGCTAGTCCACTAGAAGTGATCTTTAATACTGATTTCTGGATATGCAGTAAAAGGAAAAAAGAAAGGGAGGAGGCAAGTCTAGTCTCAGAAATACAGCTGCAGAAACTAATTTTACAGGATTTTAAGTGATATGTGGTGACACATATTGGAAAGTAGAAGTAAGTCTTAAGAACTGATGAATGACATTTGGCATAGGTGGACACGAAAGGCAGCTGGAGTACCTTTCATTTGATTGTCTCCTTCTTTAAAAATACAGAAAAAAGATGGGGTTTAGATACTACAGAAGAGAGCAGATATCTATGAATATCTTCATCTTTGAAAAAAAAAAGCAATTCTGCTGCCAGTAGAAAACATCTGCTTAAATGCCTTCCACAAGGTAAAAATCATAGTTGCTAGTACATGGCTGAGTCATGCTCTAGGGCAACACAACTTTTAGTCTAAAGTATTTTTAAGTTGCATACAAACTTTTCACAGGAAATGAACTATGCTGTATTACTAAGTAATAAAACTGCAGTGCTCTTATGAACCACCATCTTTGAGAACTTTAACAAAAAAATAAATAAAATCAATAGTATCTAAAAGACAGCATGGGCAAAACCAAATCCTATTATAGGATAAAGTGTGGAATAATAAAAATCAAACGCATACTGATCCTTTCAAATATACTCAGCGAAAGCCCAAATGATAAGGAAAGACTACATGAGAGAACAGAAAAGTCCATAGCCAAAGCCATTACTTGACTCTCCTACTTGGCAGAAGAAAGCAATGCCCCGAGGGAGAGATTCTTGTCTTCACCAGGATTGAGTGCACAGCTGTTCCAGTCCTATTTACTTCAAGTGGTGCAATATGCAAAATTAAGTAGCCCACAGCACATTGCATCAAATATCTGTCCTTTACTATGGTCTTTCAGCATCCCCATTTTCAGTAGCAAGATCAGAAACAAGGCATTAAGATCTGCTAGTCTTTCATGCAATATGCTATAACTTTTAACTTTCGATGATACAATTAAAGGCAGCAGCTACAAACCTGGAAAACATGTTCTAGTGGAGACTTAACAAATATCAATGTTCTTAATGCGCAAGGCTTTAAAAATCAAAATTGACCCCATAAAAAAGTTTGCTTTGCATTTTCCTTCAAGATTTGGGCAAAATGAGTTCATTATCTCAAGACAGCCCAGATGGTACTTCAAGAGCTTTCTAACCAATATATTTGAGAAATTTTTGCTATATAATGAGCTGTGTAAGATGTGCAGCTACTTAGAACTACATGTAGTTCAGATTCAGCTTTCAAAAGCATCTTTTAGGTAGTACATTTTAATTGATTGTTACATGCCAGAGAACACTTTTTCTAACTTAGGCCTGGAAATCGTCTTTGCTTTATAATGGTCACTCTGGTTGTATATATTAGTATCTGTTTTCAGTAATACCACACAGTTTTTCAGAATTTTGAATATGTATGTGGATGAGAGAAAGTATGGGTTTAATTTCACTAGAAGGGAAAATTCATATTTAAGAAATAAAAAAATCATAATTACGAGTTCCATGGAGAGGGACAGCACCATAATTTTTGATACTTCTTCAGAGTGTTGAGATTTGCAATGAGGGTCCAATCAATGCTAATATATATTCTATGAGCTGATGAAAGGGAAGTCAGAAATCTTCATGTAAAACTGTATATGCAAATCACTAGTTAGAAGCCTAGCAGCTATTTGAAAGTGCAATCTTTCAATCAGAACACAGAAATTATGGTGCTAATTTACTGTGAACTCAAATCTCCTTATTTAAAAATAAATAGAAAAGATTAACCATTGGACCAATTTACCAGGAACTGCTTTCACTATGTCATCACTTGCATTTTTAAATCAGAACTGGAGGCTTTCTAGAAATACGTCCCTGTTCAGATAAGATTTAATTCAGGAGAGTTTTATGAACAGTATAATACAGGTAGAGGACATACCAGATCATCCCAAAAATGCCTTCTCGCTTTTGAATGTGTGAGTTAAACAACATATGAGACTTACATATTCAAGATCTGATTATGTACTGATTAAATGTACTGGAAATTTAAATAAGTTTTGAGAAAGCCTGAGAAATAAAGCTTTTGTATCTTCCTTCTTTCTCTCTTCCTCTCCCTTTCCTCTTCTCTTCCCTTCTCTTTTTGCAAAGCTTAATCTTATTTAATCAGTATCAACATTATTCTTGGAGTTCTGTTATTCACGTGAATTTATATACGTGTCCACTATGCTCTTTGAAATATATTTATCGCTTGACAAATCCTCGGGAATACCTGGCAATACCCTGTGATAACAATCTGCCGTGCTCTCTACAGACGCTATGTGGCTGACCAACTCCTTGACCTACCTGTGGCATCGCATCCACATCTGTTTCCTTGCTGCCATACAATATGCAGCGGTAGCACAGTGATCAGAAAGATGACATTCTGCTCTGTCCCTTTAAACACCTAGAGGCGTATTTGTCTTACTGAAGGCACTGTATTTGTGGCTATCTTAGCCTACATGTTAGAATAACTTCCGATATGAAAAAGTAAGTGGAAGAAGCCAGTTTCAGTTTGAATTGTAAAATGAGGCATGTTGGAGCACACCGCAACACCACCATAATTATAGCACATCAGGTTATAATATGACGGCTTGTATTGCAGCCGCCATTTGTGTTTAAGATGGCAGAGATGCTGAATCTATTCTTACCCAGAGAAAAGGACTTGTCCAACAGTGAGAAAGCTAAGAAATATAGCAGGTGGACCTCTAAAAGTCTGTGGACTACTTCTCAGGGGCCAAAGATCACTGAGAAAAGCAAACCAATTAAGAGCAAACACAAACGTACTTTATGACCGTCTGAGCCACCAGGGAAAACTTTGAGAGGTCTGTAACAAAAATATGTTGCAAACAACTATCTTCATACACAGGCTTGTGCTAGCGAGATTCTTATACTGATTTTGTTGCTATTAACACCAGAAACATTTGTAAGAACATATATGCCTAGACAGAGGCATCAAATCTAATTTTCTGGTAAATATCTATCAGTTCTGGTAAAATGTGAAATAACTAAGAATTAACTGCATCACCATATGCCTGTTCCTTTCTTACATGGCATCCTGCCTCTCCTAGTACAATTTTTGCTTTCTGCTGTGTCTGAATTTCCTGTTCCATAGGGCAACAGACTTTACCTCTTCACAATGATTTTACTGTGCTGCAACACACATTTTGTGCCTTAAAGGCAAGGAGCTGAAGAAAAGTCAAGAATGGGATGAGGGGTAGCTGTTACAGAGACGGTAACTGCCATTTAAAAAAAAAAAGATTGCTATTAAACTATTCCTCCCCAGCAGAATCCTGAGGGATTTGGCCACTGCTGACTGTACAGCTGCTACACAAAACAGTAGGACATGAAAGATATGTATTGATATATAAATCATACGCACAACTCCTGTGTATCTCTTCAGAGCAGTCTTACA